TTAATTCGAACTTACAGTTAACAATTTCTGTACCTACTTATTTCATCTTGCTAACTAGAATTACAGTTTCTTCTTTGGTATTACAATAAAATACTGAATTGAATTCAGAGCTGGGCAGAATACTTTCAAAAAGTATTTGAATACGAAATAGTAAATACTTTACACAAATCAAAGGTATTTGAATACTAAATACTTTTACGTCCAGCACAAGCGAATACTAGATACAGATACATTGAAAAGTATTCAAATACTTTAAAAAAATAAGTATTCAAATACTTTAAAAAATAAGTATTCAAATACTTTAGAATGTATTCGAATACTTTCATAAGTATTCGAATACTTTGAAAAGTATTTCATTAACTTACTTTGAAAGGTATTGGAATACAGTAAAAAGTATTCAAATTACTTGTCACTCAAATACATTAAAAATTTGAAATAGTATACTAGATAAAAGTCTTAATACTACTGAAAAAATCAAGTTATACTTTGATTGGGGTTAGCTTGTTTTATATTTCTATTGTTATATACAAATTTAAGGTGAGTAAAAGCGTAATATTATTATTATATTATTATATACGAGGTACCTACCAGGACCTTTCTTATACCAGTTATATGCTTAAGAATACGTGTACCAGTTTTCAAAGCGATCGTACGCCGTGCACATGATACGTACGCCTTTCTGAAATTCATCCTAGCGATTTTGGAACAGATCAATTTTTTACCATCCGTTTGTCCGTGTGCATGATAACTTGTTTAGAAACGTGCGATCGCTTTGAAAATTGGTACACAATGGTCTTAAGGATATAAGAAAGGTCCTTATTGTTTTTAAGTTACGTAGACTATCGAGTCAAAAAGTTTCACTCCAGGATCGTTCGGTATTCAGTTGTATCGGATTTTTATATTTGATTTTGTGACAATGGAAACTTTCCATAAACATTTCTAAATTGTTCTCAAATATTTGAATAACTTAAAAGTACTGCTTTTTTTTGAGGCCGGAAAAAAAATGTCTGAGATCGACCGGGAAAAAACATTTTCTTATAGAATTTGGCCCGTAGAATCCATTATTTAAAACAGTTTGAAGATTGGGCTACTAGAAGTTACAGCCCTTTGAATTTTTTTTCGCAATTAGTTTTTTGTCCATAAATTTTTATTGAGAAGTCTGATCGAAAAAGTACGAATTGTTTTGGATTCTACGCACCAAAATTAATAAGAGAAAGTGTTTTCCCGAGAAACTTTGATACAGTCGATTTTTGGTAAAAAAGGAAGGTTATAACCTGCCTTTTTTGAGGCCCGAAAAAAAAATTGTCTCAGATCGACACAGAAAAAAAATTTTCTTACAGAATATGGCCTGTAGAATCCATAATTTCAAACAGTTCCAAGATTGGGCTACTAGTTCAAAAGTTACAGCCCTTTGAATTTTTTTCGAAATTGGTTTCTAGTCTATAACTTTTGATTGAGAAGTCTGATCGAAAAAGTACGAATTGTTTTGGATTCTACGCACCAAAATTAATAAGAAAAAGTGTTTTCCCGAGAAATTTTGGTGCAGTCGATTTTTGGTAAAAAAGGAAGGTTATACACTGCCTTTTTTTGAGCCCCGAGAAAAAAATTGTCTCAGATCGACCCGGAAAAAAAATTTCTTATAGAATGTGGCCTGTAGAATCCATAATTTCAAACAGTTCCAAGATTGGGCTACTAGTTCAAAAGTTACAGCCCTTTGAATTTTTTTTCGACATTGGTTTCTAGTCCATAACATTTTATTGAGAAGTCTGATCGAAAAAGTACGAATTGTTTTGGATTCTACGCACCAAAATTAATAAGAAAAAGTGTTTTCCCGAGAAATTTTGGTGCAGTCGATTTTTGGTAAAAAAGGAAGGTTATAACCTGCCTTTTTTTGAGGCCCGAAAACCTGCCTTTTTTGAGGCCCGAAAAAAAAATTGTCTCAGATCGACCCGGAAAAAAATTTTCTTATAGAATGTGGCCAGTAGAATCCATAATTTCAAACAGTTCCAAAATTGCACTGCTAGTTCAAAAGTTACAGCCCTTTGAATTCTTTTTCGACATTGGTTTCTAGTCCATAACATTTTATTGAGAAGTCTGATCGAAAAAGTACGAATTGTTTTGGATTCTACGCACCAAAATTAATAAGAAAAAGTGTTTTCCCGAGAAACTTTGGTGCAGTCGATTTTTGGTAAAAAAGGAAGGTTATAACCTGCCTTTTTTTTGAGGCCCGAAAAAAAAATTGTCTCGGATCGACCCGGAAAAAAAATTTTCTTATATAATGTGGCCTGTAGAATCCATAATTTCAAACAGTTCCAAGATTGGGCTACAAGTTCAAAAATTACAGCCCTATGAATTTTTTTTTCGACATTGGTTTCTAGTCTAACTTTTAATTGAGAAGTCTGGTCGAAAAAGTACGAATTGTTTTGGATTCTACGCACCAAAATTAATAAGAAAAAGTGTTTTCCCGAGAAATTTTGGAGTAGTCGATTTTTGGAAAAAAAGGAAGGTTAGGTATTCAAATACTATGCGAAGTATTCGAATACTTCTCAAAGTATTCAAATACCTTGCGAAGTATTCGAATACTAAATATTTGTGAAAGTATTTGAGTTACAAACACAAAATACTGCTTCCATAAAAGTATTTAATGACAAAGTATTTGAATACTTTGAAGCATTTGAATACTAAAAAGTTTTTACAAAATCGAATACAGCCCAGCTCTGATTGAATTATACTGGAAGCTTTCGAAACTGTAATCGGATAATATGATTTACGTAGGTACACTTCCGTTTGTGACATTTTCAAGCATTTGGTTTTTAAACGAATACAGCCCAGCTCTGATTGAATTATACTGGAAGCTTTCGAAACTGTAATCGGATAATATGATTTACGTAGGTACACTTCCGTTTGTGACATTTTCAGGGTAAACCACTTTCTCTAGGACTACAATTTCAGCACTTCTTCGTACAATATTATAAGAGACACAAAACAAGGAAATAATAGGTGGAGACTAATTTTATGTTACATTTGAATGATAGCTTCTTTTTGTTTTTAAGTTACGGTATGTTTTGCTGGTTTTGTGGGGCTCTGTTTCAATACAACGACAGGATATTCCAAATAATTGCCACTTTAATGGCCTAAGTTCTAACAGCTCTACCTTGATTTAGCAGAACAGCTTGAAAGGAAGTCAGGAGTCAGTTAGAAGCACAATGAAAACCTTCAGCCAACGCCACTCACAAATGATGGTTCTGCCACAAGAGTCCGGACATGATTACTTCGCGAAGAAGTTGCCCATGAATTGGTCATGAAGTACAATGAATACCTCAGCTCCCTGTCAACGGCAGCTCCCAAGCAGAGACAAACCACCAGCATGCCGTCACTAGCGGTAACGACACCTGGAGGGCGAGGATCCTAAGATATACCTCCCCCCAGGGGCGTAGCTAGGGTAGGGCAGACAGGGCACGGGCCCTGGTCGCCGTTCAAAAGGGGTCGCTAAAATCGCCAATTATTAAATTTAAAAATCAAAATAAACGACATCATATCAAACAATCCCATGGAATGAGTCGTTTACGTAAGGGGTACCGATGACCGATGCACTTGTTCGTTCGCCATTTGTGCATGCTACGCCACTGCCCCCCCCCCCTGACTCAGCCTGAGTCACACGCACCCACAATTTACAAAATTACGAAACTTATCCACGACACACGGGAAGAACTGGATGAGAAACACTCCAATAGCTATTGGAAGTAAGTATAAACAGATGGAGATTCCTTGCAAATTTAAGGCGCCGGGATGATTCTTGTTAGCTAATTGGGATGAAGATTAGTATTTTTTTCCAGAAATAAGATCAAAATTGCCTTTTTATTCCTGGAAAAATTTTAATTGTGTATTGTTTTACAGTTTCTTTGCTCTGATAAAGGACGAATCAATGTCCGAAATATAAGCATGTAAAATGCAGTTTTGATTTTATTCCTGAAAAAATACTAATTTCCATCCCAAAATCTAGGACGCCATTCAAGAAGCCCACGAGGATGTAATGGTAAACGGCGAATTACCTGATACTGCAAAGGAAACGGTTCACGTACTCGCAGTATCGCTCTGTGAGAAGGAATTACGAGAGGAAAAGGAGTACGAAAGGGTTCTTGTCCCACGGATACAGATACCACAATTTGAAGGCGATTACACGACATTGTTTATTTAGAACAGAACGAACCGCGAAAATTAAGGAAGGAATATTCTCAAAAATAACAAGGAAATGCAAACTAATATGGAAATATGTAGACTACTAGGAAGCCTAAACGGAAGATAATTAAAAAAGCTATGTAAGATCGACGCATCAGGATTTCCTGCATACTAACGTAATATACGTATGTTAAAGACGTAAATATCTGTAATATAAATAGTAAAAATAATAAAAGTAAGCATCAGAGTGAAAAATGTTAATTACAAAAAAGATGTGTCTTGATGAGATCTACAAAAAAGGCTTGTACACTTTTTGCGCCGGGTTCAAAATAAAGGCGCGAGAGGGCATTTTCTAAATGTTATACTATGACCAAAGATAATTGCATGATTCTATTAAAAGTAGTCGGAAAGTCAAGTCAGGACTTTACCTGACAACTACTTTATATTATTATAACAGTCACACAATTGTCTGATAAAGGAAACTAATTCTTAACACAAAGGAGATAAACAAAATCCAAATTTCGAGCGGAGCATAGTCCTCGCTCTTCTCCAATATTCGTTAAACTTACATAATTTTCCATACCACACCCGTACTTTATTATATTCATAAGTATTCCCACGAAACATACTCGCGTAGATGATTAAAAGTAAGGTAGTTATTGAAATAATCAGATTTTGAAACCGGAAGAACCTCTGTAGAAATGATCCGGGACCACATGTGCTAATTAGAGAAAGGTCCTTTTTGGATAAGTATCTGTTTATGTTTCTCGCTATACGGAAGATGATATTGAATGTGCCTGATACGCTTTGTTCTGTTTCAGAGAGGAAAGATTCCTCTACTGTTAGCAGTGGAGGCCGGCAATCAATCTATGTGCAGGGAACTTTTGAGTTCCCAAACGGCGGATCAACTCAAATCGGCGTCTGCTAATGGAGATACGGCACTCCATCTGGCTGCGCGCCGAAGGGACATTGACATGGTAATCATTCCCAAAATTCGACCACAAATTGAAACGTTCCCGTTTAGGTGAGAATCTTGGTAGATTACGGTACCAGCGTCGATCTGCAAAACGGCGAAGGTCAGACGGCTCTACACATCGCCGCGGCCGAGGGCGATGAGATTTTGGTAAAATACTTTTACGGGGTACGCGCCTCGGCCAGCATAACCGACAATCAAGATCGCACCCCAATGCATTTGGCCGCGGAATACGGGCACGCGAACATCATCGAGCTTTTGGTCGATAAATTTAAGGCGAGCATCTTTGAAAGGACCAAGGATGGATCGACGCTTATGCACATCGCATCCCTCAACGGACACGCGGACTGCGCGATGATGCTGTTCAAAAAGGGCGTCTATCTTCACATGCCCAACAAGGTTCGTTTATCGACTTTCTGCACGCATTAACGAGAATAAAATAATCTCGGCCATCAATCTGCCTTTCAAGGTTAGGAAAAGCTAACGTTTTCGTGTAATTCTTAAAGGTCATACGAATCATTATTTTTTTCAAGAATAGAGCAATAAAAGTGGTTGCGCAATCTTAAATATTGGTATTCAACATTCTTTGTCATGCAAATAGGGTTTATAATTTTGCATCTGTTTTATTCAGGATGGCGCTCGGAGTATACATACGGCGGCAAAATATGGTCATATTGGCATAATCAATACCCTTCTACAAAAGGGAGAAAAAGTGGACGTAACAACTAATGTAAGTATATCATGACGATAACGATGCAGCTTTTTCTTACAAATGCTTAAAAGGAAAATTACACTGCTTTACATATTGCGGTGGAAGCCGGAAAACCGCTAGTTGTAGAGACTTTACTAGGATACGGCGCCGATGTACATATTCAAGGTAATTTATATGTGGCCGCATGTCAGCTGGTAACGTCTGCAATTTTTTCTAGGCGGTAAATTAAGGGAAACAGCTTTGCACATAGCTGCCCGAGTTAAGGATGGTGATAAATGTGCCTTGATGTTATTAAAATCTGGAGCAGGTCCCAATATTACCACAGACGATGGGCAAACTCCAGTTCACGTTGCTGCCAAATACGGAAACCTTCACACACTACTTTTACTACTCGATGATGGAGGAGACCCCCAGTTCAAGAATAAGGTAAGCACATCTTATCGAGGATCTGTGAAAACCTTCGTATTTTAGAACGCCGAAACGCCCCTGCATTTGGCGTGTAGAGGGTGTAGGCCAGACGTCGTGCGACATCTAATTAATTACATAAAACAAAATAAGGGTAACGAGGTAGCTGCGCAATACGTGAATGAAGTTAACGATAACAACGAGAGCGCCCTACATTACGCCTGTGCTGTGACCAAGGAAGAAGTCGACGTTCCCTTGGCCGACAAAGAAGTCGTGAGGCTCCTGCTGGAAAACGGAGCTGACGTAAATTTGCTATCGAAACACGCTCACGAAACGTGCTTCCATTACGTTGCGGTTTCCGGAAATAACGACGTCCTGATGGCGATGATTTCCCATATGTCAAACACAGACATGCAAAAAGCTCTGAATAAGCAGTCGGCAATCGGTTGGACCCCACTATCAATAGCATCTCACAAAGGTCACACGGAATTTGTAAATAACCTGCTGACGAATCACGCGAGAGTAGACGTCTTTGACACCGAAGGGCGGTCGGCTCTGCACTTGGCCGCCGAAAAGGGCTTCCTAAAAGTGTGCGATCTCCTCCTCACGCATAAAGCGTTTATCAACTCAAAATCGCGAGTTGGCCGAACGGCATTGCATTTGGCGGCCATGAATGGCTATACACACCTGGTTAAGTTTCTGATTAAAGACCACAACGCCGTGATCGATATTTTAACTTTGCGTAAACAAACACCGCTGCATTTGGCGGCAGGTGCCGGCCAAATCGAGGTATGTAAATTACTTCTGGAACTAGGAGCCAATATCGATGCGACCGACGATATGGGGCAGAAACCTATCCATGCGGCTGCCCAGAATAACTTCTCGGAGGTGACCCAGTTATTTCTGCAACAGCATCCGAGTCTGGTAATGGCGACGACGAAGGACGGAAATACGTGTGCGCATATTGCGGCAGCTCAAGGTAGCGTTACTGTCATCGAGGAGCTGATGAAGTTCGACAGGCAGGGGGTGATCACCGCCAGAAATAAGCTGACCGACGCGACGCCCCTGCAAATAGCCGCGGAAGGTGGACATTCGGAGGTTGTCAAGGCTTTAGTGAGGGCCGGAGCGTCTTGTACCGATGAGAACAAGAGCGGATTTACGGCCGTGCATTTGGCGGCAAAAAACGGCCACGGGCAGGTTTTGGAGGTTTTAAGGTCGACCAACACTCTTCGGATAGTCAGTAAAAAGTTGGGGGTGACGGCTTTGCATATCGCGGCATACTTTGGACAGGCTGATACGGTCCGGGAGCTGCTCACTCACATACCCGGCACTGTCAAATCAGAACCGCCGAGCGGCGCGTCCCTAGTGCCAACGCTGGGAAATGAATCAGGAATGACTTCGTTGCATTTGGCGTCGTTTTCGGGTAACGAAAACGTCGTAAGGTTGCTCTTGAACTCGGCCGGTGTGCAGGTGGATGCAGCCTCGCACGAAAATGTAAATTTAATTCTTCTAACCGAGCTTTTATAATTAGAACCAATTTTGTAGGGTTACAACCCCTTGCATTTGGCATGCTTTGGTGGTCACACGACAGTTGTGGGTTTATTACTAAGTAGATCCGCCGAACTGCTCGAGAGTCACGATAAGCACGGTCGACGGGGTCTACACATAGCGGCGACTCACGGTCACTACCAAATGGTGGAAGTTTTATTGGGTAAGATTTATGACACCCTCTACGCTTGAATTACATTGATTTTGTACAGGTCAAGGTGCGGAGATCAACGCAACGGATAAGAACGGATGGACGCCTTTGCATTATGCGTCAAGGGCGGGCTGTTTTGACGTCGTAAAATTACTGACCGAATCTGGGGCATCTCCCAAATCGGAAACGAACCTTGGCGCCGCCCCGATTTGGTTCGCAGCCTCTGAGGGCCACAACGACGTCCTCGAATACCTACTAACAAAGGAACACGACACCCACACGCTAATGGAGGACAGAAGATTCGTTTACAATCTCATGGTCTGCTCCAAAAATCACAACAACAGGCCCATGGAGGAATTCGTCCTCGTTTCACCGGCACCCGTTGATACCGCCGCTAAACTATCCAACATACTCATCGTACTGTCCAACAAGGAGAAGGAGCGAGCTAAAGATTTAATCGCGGCCGGTAAACATTGCGAGTACATGGCGACCGAATTGTTAGCTTTGGCCGCCGGTTCGGAATCGGCCGGAAGAATCCTTACGGCCACCGATCGGCGGAACGTCGAATTTTTGGACGTACTTATCGAAAACGAGCAGAAGGAAGTGATAGCTCATACGGTCGTTCAGCGATACCTCCAGGTAAAAAAATGGTAGTTTCATTCAAACACCAACCAAAAACGGGTCCGTGAAGTGACAGCCTAGGCAGGAATTATTTTCGTAAACGTGCCATAATTTAGTGCTACTATGCTACCCCTTTGCCTAATTCCGTGAATAAAATTCAAAACGTTGTGCCCCATTTTCTGCTAATTAATCTTGGTATTTAATATTGTATCAGAACAGCGTTTATTAGTATTTCAGAATTTTCGAATGCCATACTCTACTCTAATGTTAAATTCAAGCTTTCTATTAAATATTATAATCTAGTAACTTACTAAGTAGCTATCGCTGGTAGTTTTAAGCTTTGGGCTAAGCCCTTTTATGAATAATTCAAGTTTTTAATGCACAACTTCCCATCCCGATGTAGTGTATGTTATGTACAGTTTTTTTTCAAAAGTTTGAAATCAATGATATATGATGTACTAATGACGTTAATGTGTGACTATTAAAATCAGTGCAATTACCGTATCGTTTACTTGGGTGGAGGGGGGAGGGGGAGATTTGCTAATTTTTCCTCACGCGGGTGGAGAATTAAGTGACTTTTTTTGGAAAATCACTATATGTCCCTGGAGAAGTAATTCGTGGATAATGTATCGTATCTGATCAGGTGATGGCCTCTCTTTTTTATGCCTTGTAAATTGCTCTCCTTTCTCAAGGAATACCAATTTTGGATAGGTTTCCTTCATTTTATTCCCCAGTCCCCCGCAATTCTCAAAGTACAGGAACCGGCAGCTAAGAAGACGAGAGATGACGCGAACCCACTATTACATTTTTGTAGGAAACGCCGCGCCATCCAGGGATATCCTGCACAGTAATATTATTAGTTTTAGTGGCACTTATTGGTGCGCCATTGTTCCACACTGGCTCTTCCTGCAGACTCTAAATTGCTCATCTGCGCATGCGGCGTTCTCGCCTTCTTAGTTGCCGGTTCCTGCAAGTAATTTTAGATATCGACATTCTGTGTACGTTTTTACTTCAATTATTTGTTGAAATGGCGAATTGTAAAGATCAATGTAAGCGCGATTGTTAATGTATAGCTGCACAAGTTATTGTTAGGTAGTAAAAAATGACACTGGTACACGTAAATGTTAGGCGCTCACTACAATTCCTCATAAGGAACCTCCCGTTTAAGTTAATCGAAGTACCAGGTGTTCAATAAAGCTAGTAGCTTCCATCAATGTACGGTGCGTTCATTAATTCTGCTATAATTCCTATACGGAAACGGGTGCTCCGTTACGGTTTAATGGAATAACCATCGTCCGAACAGCTTTCAAATGATTGAGGTATGAGTTTGCAGTTTCATTGTCATCAAAACTAATCGATCAAATATATAACAAATTAGGAAGCACAAGGGTGAAAGGATCAATGGTAATTGATCAAATTCACCCCGTATATTAAAAATTTAGAAATGCTAGACGAGTAACCTATAGGAACATTTCTAATTCCCGTCAATGTAAAAGCAGGCCGCATTTTGGAAACAAGAGTATTTTTTTTTACGTTTTTGCCAATTATTCAATAATTTTTTTTAACACGCTGTCTGGAAAAATTTTCAAAAAAGCTTCTACGGAAATTTTTAAGGTTTTTGAAAACCAAAAATATTTTTAAGAAGATTTAGTGTTTAGTGTTTGCTGCACGCTGTAAGGGTTTAATTATATTTACAGGGGTTGAATGTTATTCTCTACGGCACTGGTAATAATTTTACTGTAACAATTATTTTTTTGTAATGATTTAATTAAATCCACGGCTAGCTCAGTAATAAGTAAACTTTATGACTTACCTCGCAGAAAGTTGGTTCTTTATGTCCCCTTATAATTTAATTAATTAACCCGATTTTTTAATATTTGTAATTAATCCAACGCGTCGTACATTTTCCTATTCAAAAGATTTACACACCTCTGGATGCTAAATAATGTTGAACCCACTCAAAGAATGCCATTCTTTGATGAACTTAAAAAGTCCATTTTCACAATTAATGAGAAAAAATCACCAAAATCTTTTGTTTGGGTTCGCTTATTCTTCATAAAAAATATACAAATTTGTTCAAGGAATAAATTTCCGTGCTTCGACCTCTTCAGGAATGTTAAAATTACTTTGAACATAAATTGTTATCCAAAATTCCAAAACAATCGACTCCTGTTTTTATACAATGCAAAAATTTCAAATAAGGGGGTTGAGGTTCTTTCCAAATGACATTTGACGATTTGAATCAAGAACAAACTTGGCTGCAGGTTTTACGAAATTGAATATTTGGAATTTTGTTAATCACTTGAATAATTTACCAAGATGTCGCAGTATGAAATTGATCAATTTTCTCCTTGTATAAGGGTTTTAACAGGTAACAAAACCTTTAATTAATCGTCTTTAATCTTTTTACTGGTTGCCGTTTAATCAAGAATCTTATTATTGTCCCGTATAAACAAGATGGAAGTACAAATTTGGTTAATAAAAGTGTTTTTATCGTAGCTATCCACTCCAAGTGTAAACACAGTGAAACGTTCTGTTTTACTTGTGATTGTAATTCGCACACCCGACAATAACTTCGTCGAATTGATAAAACAGCTCCAATGTTTAAAAAAATATTACCTAATTGGGCGCACCTTCCAATTTAAATTAAAATTGAGTCCGTAAGTAACTCGCACTTGTCACCAATATCTTTACGAATAGTTTCTAATCGAATTACGCGTTTTGAAAAATAATAACAATTTTGTTTATGTTCGCTGTAAAGCGGTACATGTGTAAATCTCCTATGCCGACTAGAATAGAAATCCGGCCATAAATATGAAGATAGCGTTGCACATGTGCAATCCAATTTTGACGCGCTACTTCAATTTCGTTTATAAGAAGAATTTCTTTTCAATGCTTTCATAAATAAGAAAGTTGCCACTGCGCATGCGGAAACCTAAATTTTAAAACTAACGTTAGATTTCCCTTTGTTCCAAGTTGCTATGTATCAAATTTAATTTACATGCTTCCATAAATAAAAAAGTTGGCACTGCGCATACGCAAAACCAAATTTTGAAACTGGCGTTAGATTTTCATTTATTCCAAGTGCCTATGTATCAAATTTCATTCAATATTTTTATAAATAAAAAAGTTTTCAATTCGGTTTATAAATGGTCGAGATGCGAAAAGGGCACCTGTGAATTTTGAATCCATTCGACTCAACTTTTGGCATTGCGTATTATATGGCTAAAGCTATGCCCATATTGAATTTCATGCAATTCAGTTCATAACTAACGGAGATGTCAAAGCGATCGGACATTTCTAAACAAAGTTATCGTTCACACGGACAGATAGAGGGACAAACAGACAAAGGAACAGACGGACAGACCAACAGACAGACGACAGACAGCAATACAAAATTATAAACGATCTCTAGGATGGTTAATAAACGGCAAAAGTGTAAAATTATGGAACATGTAAAAAACGGTTTTTTGGTTTTTTACAATAACTTTTTTAGCAATAAACGCAAAAAAAATTCCTTCCTTGGTGCAAGCCTCGACACCATAACGAACCAAATAGCGAAAAAAGTAGAACAATAGCTCTTAAGATAAAGAACTAGTAGCGTCTCAACGAACGAGCGGACGGACGGACGGACGTACGAACAAAGTGGCCACAATAGCGCATTTTTTTTTAGTTTTGTAGAAATGCGCTAAAAATCGGTACCAGTAAATCGCACCTGCATTAATTTATTTTGCAAATACTACAACTAATAAAAAATATTATTCGTCTAAAGGTTAAATTTTGTTGTTGTCAACGCAATGAGCACAACAGCCAAAACCGAACTGGTGGTACAAATTAGCAGAAAATTACAAGTGACACATTTCAAATTGATAGCACGCACTAGCAGAAAAGCACAAAATTTTAAATTGGTAGCACAAAATTACGAGACTAATTCCATTCTAGGCGAGACCACAACTTCACGGACCCACTTAGCACACACAACTGATCCTTATTTTCCTTTCAGGAACTGTGGAGAGGATCACTGAATTGGCCTGCATGGAGAACCGTCTCGTTGTTTTTCGCCTTTATCATCTGCCCCCCGCTTTGGGTGGCCCTAACTTTGCCGCTCGGGCACAAATACAACAAAATTCCCATCATTAAGTTTATGTCGTACTTAACCTCTCACGTGTACCTCATGTTATTTTTACTGATAGTCGGCGTGACACCCCCATACGCAGTGGTGCGCGAAATGTTAATCCCTTACTGGTACGAATGGATCTTATTAGTGTGGTTAAGTGGACTCTTACTATTCGAATTGACTAATCCTAGCGATAAATCGGGACTCGGATGGATTAAAATATCGGTGCTGCTTTTTGGAATTTTCGGTGTCGGTACGCACGTGCTGGGATTTTTTATTACGCCCAACAGTTGGCCGACGTTGATGTATTGCCGAAATCAGTTATTTGCGCTATCGTTCCTGTTGGCATGCGTGCAAATATTGGACTTTCTGTCGTTCCACTACCTGTTTGGACCATGGGCGATTATTATAGGAAACCTAATGAAAGATTTGGCAAGATTTCTTGCCGTTTTAGCCATATTCGTTTTTGGATTCTCCATGCACTTCGTCGCGCTGAATCAGCCCTTTAAGGATTTGTCAAATACGGAGGTGAAGCAGCTGCGTAGGCCGCCACCGGGATACTTTCGTGAAGGTAAGTCCCTTTAGTTATTTCCGTCATTTTGCGGTTACCACTAACTATCGATTTGAAGTAATTTTTGGACTTTATATAATTTGTAGTGTTGTCAGGTGACATATTATACTTGGTATTTGTACTTACTTTTATTTTGACAAAGGGAATCTAGATAATAGAACTATCCCGGTAAATGTAGACTGGGTTGGAACAACCACAACGGCTACGGTACCACGATATGGTCGCCTCCGCAAAAAGCACACGGTGCAAGATGAGGGCAGTAAGTGATGCCTGTGGGGTTTTAGTCCTTGTCTAATGGTGTGTCGTCGCAGACCGGCATTGCTTTTGTGTGTCTGTCTTTATTTATGTTAGATGAAGTAGTACTGGGTTAACGTCTGTCTGTATGTGTGTAGTCGGTTAACGCCTTTGTACTAATTGACGGATACATTTCATAGTGAAAATGAATCCTATAAGCGCCTTTGAGAAGCTATCGTTTGCCGTATTTGGACAAACGACACACGATGAGCTAATAGTAGAGGCGCCGGCAGGAACGCCACCCTATCGACCGGATTGGACGAAGAATCTGTTCAAATTTTCATTCGGCATATACATGTTGGTCTCGGTCGTTGTGCTAGTCAATCTTCTCATTGCTATGATGTCTGACACTTACCAACGCATCCAGGTAATTAGCGTGATTTGTGATTCCAGTCCAAAAGAACCCGGTGGAGATTTTTGAGCTGATGTTTTTCGCGATTTTTGGACAAACTTCAGCCGAACAGCTACATACCAAGCAACATCCTCAATCGGCATGGACTGAGGCCTTATTTAAACTCATTTTTGGAATATATATGTTGGTCTCCGTTGTTGTTTTAATTAATCTACTCATTGCTATGATGACCGATACATATCAGAGCATACAGGTAACGCTCTTGCATGCTGTGGTGCACGCCTATAAATACAATCGCACCAGTTCTCTTGGACTGGATGACATGTGATAGAATAGACTTTTCGTGTCTTCATAGATAAAGTGGTAGGTTTTCTGTAGTTAACTCCGCTACTTTATTCATGAAGTTGTTCACTTAGTTTAGTGTTTACCGCAACAAAGTTGTACATAAACTGAAATCATCGGATGTAAATAAACATGTACAGAAATCCATTTACACATGCGTAGGCACAATCCGATATTGAATGGAAGTTTGGTCTGAGCAAGTTGATACGCAACATGCATAGAACAACAACAGCGCCCTCTCCGATCAATCTAATTACAACATGGCTCTTTTACCTAGTCGACCTGTGCAGAGCTAGAGGTAAGATTCGGACTTCAAAGTAGGATACGTGGTAATACTCTGTGCTTAGTGAAAAAGAAGAAACGGCCTAGTCTGGTGCACATGATGAACACCTTCCAAGCGCAAGAGCTAAGTCCAAGATCCAAAGCCGGTGCCAAATGGTTGTCGAAGGTCAAAAAAGGAAGTCAAATCGCTCCAAAGGAATCGGTCGCATCGTTGACGGTGACCCAGCTACGAAGCCCCTTAGGCTCGCAGATGAGCTTCAACTTACACACCAACCGTATCGAACACGTCGCCGACTGGGAATCAATTGCCAAAAAATACAGGGCGCTCGTTGGACACGTGGACGAAATCAAGAGCGCTACAAACACCGACGCCGAAAGTGACGATAATGGAAATGAAAGCGACACACCCGTTCCTAATAACGTCGCCCCTTAAAAGTCAATAACTCTTCCAAATGTAGATAGAATTAGTCGCATGTAAATACCTGGTTCCTATTCTGCAACAAACTAGCTTTATACATAGCAATTTTTATACTCCCAGGCTTTCCTTCGTAATTGTATAAGTGAACAGGATTTCATCCGCAATGTATGCCAAACTTTGTATCAAAATTGTTATATAAGAGTATAAGAGTCTTTGTTTATTAAATGAAGTAGTTTATGTAAGATGTTTCGTACAAATAGTTACGTTTAAGTATGTCAGTAGACCTAAAACATTACAAAGATATAAAGTCCAAAAATTACACTGATCGTTACTGAAATTCGCCTCATATTAAACCTCACTGTTCTTTAAAACTAGGAAACGGTTAGCTTACTACACAAATCAGACAGAGTAGTTTCAACAATTTGGACTATTTCTCTTTGTACTGTTAGAGCAGTCCTTAATTACTTGCAACGATATGTATTTTTAATAAAAAAAAAAGAACATTGGAAACTTTTTGTCTTTCAAAAACGGCTGAGAGGTTAGATGATTCAATTTTAATAAGTGGTCAACAAATAGCATCGGTCATTTGCGATTGCTATTGCCGCGTATTAATCGTCCGAAACCTAATGCATTAAAAACGCTTAACAACAACGTAATACTGAGTAAATCCCCACCAAGGAGTGTGTAAAGTTAGTAGAACAGGAACTGAACGAACGTCAATTTGGGCACTTTGAAATGCTCTGTGGCTTGCACCTTTCTCTTGTGACCTGGATCACTTTCATTAGTCCGGAACTGAAATGACCTTTACAGTTTGAGCTTACAGTTTGTCATTTTAGGGGAAGTACAGTAAGCATCAAAATACTAAACTGCTACATAGGTACGGTACCTCGTATTATAAACTGTGTGCAACTGTATTTGTCACAGTACGCAGATGTGGGAGTCCCCAAAAATAATAAACTCACAGACTTGGAATCGACGCCAATAACAAATCGATTCTGGTAGACGTTAAATTTGGCACAAGCTACTAGAGTAACAACGCTCAACATTTTAGACTATTTTGTACTATAAGATATGGTATCAAATAAAAGCGCACTTAGGGGATGGAAAATTCGCGCTCCCGTAGCGACCCACTTCTCACATCAATAAAGTAATGCCCAGTTGCACCAACAAAATTAAGCCTTGCCTAAAGTTAAGTCGAACTTAAAATCTATGGCAACGACTATTAAGACAATCGATGCCATGGTATTTAAGTTATGCTTAAGTTTAAGGGATGCTTAATTTTGACGGTGCAATTGGCCATAATATTTAAACATAATCCATCACAGAAATAAATATTTACTGTGGCTAGTACAGATACCAGCCGCACACCTGCGCATGCGTGACTTTGCCCATTCTATTTCCAATCGGTTTAGCCGTTTAGCCGGAAATGAAAGTACAGACAGATATACAGACCGACATATGAGACTGAATTTTCTAATAAAATTTTTAATTACAAAACCAAAAGGAACTTTGACTTTAAAGAGCAATTGAAGGGTTGCTTAAGAATCATTTATACATAACCGAATAACGAAATACAAATATTTGGTGTACTACAAAAATTACAACCCCCGCAATCGAGGATTAATGCACGTGAGAGTCCGAATTCTAATAAAATTCGTAATTTTAAAACCAAAAAGAACTTTGACTTTAAAGAGCAATTGAAGGGTTACTTATGGATCATTTATACATAATCGCGTAACGAAATATAAATATTTGGTTTACTACAAAAATTACAACCCCCGTAATAGAGGATTACTACACGTAAAGGTCCGAAATCTAATCAAATTCATAATTTTAAAACCAAAAGGAACTTTGACTTTAAAGAGCAATTGAAGGGTTGCTTATGGATCATTTATACATATCTGAACAAAGAAATACAAATATTTGGTGTACTACAAAAATTACAACCCCCGCCATCGAGGATTAATACACGTAAAAGTCCGAATTCTAATCAAATTCATAATTTTAAAACCAAAAGGACCTTTGACTTTAAAGAGCAATTGAAGGGTTGCTTATGGATCATTTTACATAGGTAACCGAATAACGAAATACAAATATTTGGTGTACTAAAAAAATTACAACCCCCGCAATCGAGGATTACTACACGTAAGATTCCGAATTCTAATAAAATTCATAATTTTAAAACCAAAAGGAACTTTGACTTTAAAAAGCAATTGAAGGGTTGCTTTTGGATCATTTATACATATCTGAACAAAGAAATACAAATATTTGGTGTACTACAAAAATTACAACCCCCGCCATCGAGGATTAATACACGTAAAAGTCCGAATTCTAATCAAATTCATAATTTTAAAACCAAAAGGACCTTTGACTTTAAAGAGCAATTGAAGGGTTGCTTATGGATCATTTTACATAGGTAACCGAATAACGAAATACAAATATTTGGTGTACTAAAAAAATTACAACCCCCGCAATCGAGGATTACTACACGTAAGATTCCGAATTCTAATAAAATTCATAATTTTAAAACCAAAAGGAACTTTGACTTTAAAGAGCAATTGAAGGGTTGCTTATGGATCATTTATACATATCTGAACAAAGAAATACAAATATTTGGTGTACTACAAAAATTACAACCCCCGCAATCGAGGATTAATGCACGTGAGAGTCCGAATTCTAATAAAATTCGTAATTTTAAAACCAAAAAGAACTTTGACTTTAAAGAGCAATTGAAGGGTTACTTATGGATCATTTATACATAATCGCGTAACGAAATATAAATATTTGGTTTACTACAAAAATTACAACCCCCGTAATAGAGGATTACTGTAACACGTAAAGGTCCGAAATCTAATCAAATTCATAATTTTAAAACCAAAAGGAACTTTGACTTTAAAGAGCAATTGAAGGGTTGCTTATGGATCATTTATACATATCTGAACAAAGAAATACAAATATTTGGTGTACTACAAAAATTACAACCCCCGCAATCGAGGATTAATGCACGTGAGAGTCCGAATTCTAATAAAATTCGTAATTTTAAAACCAAAAAGAACTTTGACTTTAAAGAGCAATTGAAGGGTTACTTATGGATCATTTATACATAATCGCGTAACGAAATATAAATATTTGGTTTACTACAAAAATTACAACCCCCGTAATAGAGGATTACTACACGTAAAGGTCCGAAATCTAATCAAATTCATAATTTTAAAACCAAAAAGAACTTTAACCATAAATAGCAACTGAAGAGTTGCTTATGGATCATTTATACATATCCGAATAACGAAATACAAATAATTGGTGTATTACAAGAATTACAACCCCCGCAATCAACGATTACAATACATATGATTCTGAATTTTCTAATAAAATTCGTAATTTTAAAACCAAAAAGAAACTTTAACTTTAACCTCATTTTGTTTGATCTGGTAACGTTTCTTTCCTAATTTCGTCAAAACCGATACTATTGTTTGTGTAACTTCAACCCTTTTCTAAGAGTTTGAAATTTCAAAATTTCGCTTTCTAAGTAATTGGTTTTGTACTAGCTAAGACCTTTAAATTAGGTACCTTTATTTGCATGAAGATCACGTCTTTCTTAATCGCCATGGATGGGGAGAGTTGGCGGCAGAGGATCTCCAACTGCACTCGTACACGTCGGTGGACCACTGGCAAGCGGGACTGGTGAGATATTCCAAACACTGAAAAGAGAAATATTATAAATGTAAAAAAACCGCAGTTTATATAGAAACCGGTAAAAAATGTGCAGAATTAAAATATTAGTAGCTGTCGTAGTTTTATAGATATGAAGCACTTTTTTTATGAATGAGTATGTATCTAATCAAAAGAACAAGCAATCCGCTATTCTGAACGACTCAAAAACCATGACGTACTCACCTAGTTCGATTGAAACTTGAGTTCACCAGGATTAGGGTAGACTTGAATCCGGTCATCTGTGAACAATCAATGAGATTAGTACACCCTCCAAAGTGTACTCATAAAGTGTGTTTGTTCAATAATTAGCTACCTAATCAGAGATGACTTACGATCAATCATCTAATCATCTGAGAGTAGGTATCTAATTATTACATAAACGTACACTTCTGTAACGATTACTCACCTCCCTTTGAAAACCAAAAACCCGATCTTCACGCAATACTAAATGGGGTATGATCAACCCCTAAGACATGTTCCTTGGAAACATAATGACTGGCTGCGGTACTTCCTGGGGGAGGAAAACTGTTCACTTCACTAAATTACTATGGCTATGAATTCATGGCCATAACAATTCATATGGAGTGAACTGCTGATGACCATTCCAAAAATGACCGCTGCCAGTCTATCACGCCACCAAGATTAACGCTGAGAGAGTTAACCACAACTCAATTAGAACTACAATACGAAGATCGGCTAAAATTATTCGTTGATTCTTATTTTGGTCACTTTATACACTATTCACTTTTCCCCCACTGCTAAATACACAAAAAAAATGCAACAAGTCACATGCTTAGAACAGGAAAAATCCTACCTTTATAAGGCTGCCCTTCTGGAATCTGAAACAAAAGAAAATACGTTAAAATGATGAAGAAAATTTTTCAAAATAGTTAATAGTTAGACTATGTTTTTTTTTGGAATACATTACGTTATGAATAGTGACTATATTAAATATTATAAATTTACCCTTTAGCCTTATTCATTCCGTTTTGGACCACTGGACGCTGCTACCCGCAGCCGGCGTTCAGGCATAGTGAGTTGGGATCACTGAAAAGTGAGAAATATATATTACAAAAGAGCTCTCGTGATTTTTGTGTAGAACTATAGTTACTGGACATTTGGTTTACAAAAAATATGATACATTAACATGGTACGTAATTTCGGGGCGATCAAAATCGGGTTATATTAAAGTGAATTGTGTACTTACCTCATTAGCCTGAATCGTGTTCAACAGAATCGAGTTGATTCCTCTCAGGTAGATGCAGGACGAGGGCGGGGTCATCATTGGCGCTGTGAACAATCGAAAGGATTTGTAAGTAATCATGTTATAAAAAACATTTATTGGCTCTGTTCCTTTATTAATCAATTACCTCAATGTGGTCTTTCATCTCAATGTTAAGATCATCTTATACATTAATAAACGAACATAAGCCTATGGTGGATTAATCACTTACCTTCCTTTAAAAACGTGATCTTCGTATGACAATCTTTGGTAACGAAAAAATTGACTGGAATAGTTCCTCATGGCCTCATTTACAAGAAAACTGAAAGAAACCGATACGGCTGTGAATTATAGTCATACCGGACGTTTTAGGGTAACTGTTTCATGCCACGAGAGAATCATTGCAATCAGTCTTACATCATCAAGATGACTATACGAAGGTCAGTTAAAATAATTACCTGGTTGGTTTTCTTTGTAGTCACAGTATTCACTATATTCACTCCCCCCCTCTTTTAAATACACAAAAAATAGAATACCACCACCCATGCACCGAAAAAGAAAAATCCTACCTTTATAAGGCTGCCCTTCTGGAATCTGAAACAAAAGAAAAATATGAAAAAAAAATTTAGTAGTTAATAGTGAATTTCTATGTTACTTTTTTTTTGTTTTTGGAATACATTACATTGTGAATAGTGACTATTAATGCTCAAATTAGATATTAGACATTTACCCTATAGCCTTATTTATTCGGTTTCGGACCACATGACGCTGCTACTTCCACCCTGTCCACTCTCCTATCGTAAGCCAGAATCCAAGGCTGCCCTTCTCGAATCTGAATCAAAGAACATAAATATACATTAAAACTATGAAACACGAGTAAGGAATTTGAGTTTTTACATGCACGGCGTTTGCTAGAAGGGCCTCCTCTCTCCTTTTGTTGTGCTTTACTACAAATATCAAGTTAGGTACTACTTTTCATCCGGAAAATAGAGACTGAAAATGGACCTGCAAACCTAGAATTATTTTCAAGTTTTTGTATGTTATAGAGGATCATCTATTGGTTAAGAATGTAAGTTTCCGACCTCCCACCACTTGTGCTTTCCCGTACCCCCGAAATTTGTTTGGTTTTTTTAGTTTTTCATTCATATTTTTTTAATGGTTTACTGGACTTATTTCAGTTTAAGCCCTTCCATCCGCTACAAAAAGGAATGATTATTTCAACCTCCTATAGTAGTTCAACTATTTAGCTTTCGAACGTAATTTACAAATCATTATTTTATATTAATCCTGTGTGGGGTTGCTAGCCGCAGGTGGGGGATAGAGAAATGCTCGCCAGATATGACGGGTGCCGAGGAAATAACATACCCGGGGTGGGCCAAAACTAGCCTTGAGGTATAAGGGAATATACCCGATCTCGATAAGAGGTCGAGAAGGAGGGCTATGGTTGGTAGAAATTAATTCCTTTCGTTGAGACCTTTCATTAGAGTACCATGAATGATAAAACAGGTTCCACTCCCCCGCCCCCCTCCACCCTAGCTCCACTCCGTACTTTCATAAGGACACAAAGAAGGGCAGTAGTTGGTAGAAAACGGTTCCTTTCGTTGAGACCTTTAATTAGAATACAATGAAAGATAAAATTATTTTTTAACCCCTCCCCCCTCAGGCCCCGTAGCTCAATGATCTCGAAAAAGAGTCGCACGGGAAAATTATAGTTTGTACAAAGTAATTTATTTCGATGCGACCTTTCATTAGAATACCATGAAGGGTAGTACATGTGAGCCCCCCCCCCCCCAATTTTCTAAAGTTTAACTTGGCACCACTAAACGCATGCGTATGCAAAATCTGAGACCAATTGGTTGTCGTATGTAAAAGTTATGCACGTTTTACTTTAAAAAACAGCATCTCAGGAAATAATTCGTTGAGAGGCCCCCTTTTAGACAGCGAAATTTGATGGCCGTCTGGCAAACTTTCAAGGTATAGGCTACCTACTGCAAAAAATTTCAGGACTGTAGGACCATTTCCCTAGAAGTAGTTCGAAACGGCAGAAGTGGGTCCGGACGGACGGACGGACAAAACGCAAACAATAGCAATTCTTACAAAAATGTGCCAAAAATTAAGGGAAAAGAAGATGATGACAGAATGGAAAAATTAAATAATCCACTCCTCATTAAGGGAATGGGGAGAGAGTTATTCCATGAGGAGTGCTCCGGACTAGTTTCAACATTCAACCACAAAACATAAAAGCGAAAAGAAAGGTGAAGAATCACCATTGCAAAATCAGAGACCAATTGGCTGGCGCATGTAAAACTTGGGCATGTTTTACCTTCAAGGACAGCATCTCAGGAAACAATTAATTCATGGGGGGGGGGGGCTCCCCTTTAAAACGGCGAAATTTTGATGGGCACCTTCAAGGCATTGCAAAAAATTCCAGGAATCTAGGATAATTCCCCTAAAGGTGGGTCCGGACGGACGGACGGGCAGGCGGCCGGAAAAATAGCAAACAATAGCACTTTTTTTAATTCTTAAAAAATGCGCTAAAAATGAACGAAAGGGCGAAGGGGTGTCCGATATTGATTTTGAAAAAGAATTTATTCACAAACGTTACTCATTGCAATTGAAAATAATTTAATAGCACTTCCCGATTTACGCCCAGAACAACGGACGGACGGGCGAAGAATGGGTCGTCTCCCGAGGGATATTACCTAATACGATTACCTATTCATAGTGGCCATACATGTACTAGTACTATTTACTACAGTATGAACTGCGATGAAAGATGAGTTTACACTGTATTAGGAGAAAGTGGCAGGTGTCTTTAATTTATAAATCCGCATTTCCTATGTGTCAGAAAAACTGAGCACTTGCAAATAAATACCGTCAAATTAGATCGATTTTGCCATCAATTGGTGAGAAAAATCTTCTCTTGTGCAGAAATTGTTTGAACCTTTAACCATGTAGCCCATTATGTATAAAAATTAGTACGTACCTAATTAAAAATTTGAAATTTTTCAAATCGATTAACGTAATTTTAGTTGATTAGTATAAATACGAGATTATTTTAAAAGAATGTCTTGATATCGCCTCAACGGCCGCATCTGGTGATGACGTGGCGCGTTATCTCTGTACACGTGGCAGGTAACGCTACAGTTTCGAATTCTAATTTACCATTCGGATAGATTTAGAATGAAAATATTTACACTGCGGTTTATTTAGTTTGTTCATATGAGAGTTTATTACATGTTTTTGGATTTCTATGTGACGAAAACCCACTTTGGAGCATACTAGTTACCTTTTGACTATTATGAACCTAAACCACCGACTAAAAAAACCCAACCCTTTCCAAATAAATTTCTGAATTTTTGTTTCATGGTAGTAGTTCCTAATAGGCACAAGAGGATATGGTTTTTTTATGATGGGTACATTTAACTACGGGCCCTTTTACCGCCCCAATTAAATAAGGTAAAAACTCACCCTTTAACCTTTATTAATTCAGTCTCTCCAAGGGAAGAATCACTACCAAACACCATTGGAAAAACACTAAACCCAACCGTCGACGTTTCTCGCGTTACTACAATCGGAATCGTGACGTAGACGGATAGGTAGGTAACGAGTGAGACAGAAAACAAGTGCCTTATGGGAATACTTTGCTGAGGTTATTTTCGCGCATTTCCAATCGTCAAAGTTGGAATTTATTCACAAATTTAGAAAATACTCAGTGTTTTGAGTACAGTTTAATCAAAATAGGAAACCCTATCCAATTTTGATTTGTTTGAAAATTGAATTTGAAGGCAATTATTTCAATTAAGTACACGGATGGCACAAGTTTGTTGTTTCAAATTCTTATAAAGCATATTTGGGGCATTGGCATTCTTTTTATCTTTTAACTTTAGTGAAAATCAGTAATTTTTTGCAACTATTTGGCGCGCTTCTAGTTTTTTTTTAATGGTTCCCGTACTTTCGAATTTTAGATTTAAGTTGCTGGTCTACTTTTCGGACATTTTTTTAGTTTAACATGTTGGATTTCCGGCAGCAACCCTTGAAATTTTTAAAGGTTGCGCATTCCTGGTTTCTGTTCACGCACTTGGTCGTGAATAAGAAGTTAATTTCAGATCTGTATGATTTAAATTAAATTATATTTCCAATCTGCCGAGGTTAATGCTTGTTAATGGCACTTTTACATGAAAGTTAGCTGGAGGGCATGAGCTGAAGGGACGCACGGATGAAGATCCTTTCCCCTAGACTACTCATTGCAATTGAAAACATCAGATTAATAGCACTTCCCAATTTACGCACAGAACAACGGACGGACGGGCGAAGGGTCAGTCGTCTCCTGAGGGATAGTACCAAATATATACTATACATACTTCGTCCTCTACATCTGGACTCTGGTGTGTTCATTTACTTATTTACTACAGTATGCACGGCAATGAAAAATTAGTTTACGCTAGATTAGGAGAGAGCGACAGGTGTTTTTAATTTACAAATCCGCATGTGTCAAAAAACTAAGCACTTGCAAATTAATACCATCAAATTAGATCGATTTTGCGATCAATTGGTGAGAAAAATCTGCTCTTGTACGGAAACTGTGTGAACCTTTAACCACGTAGCCCATTATCATTGATACCATTATGTATGCATAAAGATTAGTACGTACCTAATTAAAAATTTGAAATTTTTCAAATCGATTCAACGTAATTTTAGTTGATTAGTATAAATACGAGATTATTTTAAAAGAATGTCTTGATATCGCATCAACGGCCGCATCTGGTGATGACGTGGCGCGTTATCTATGTACATGTGGCAGGTAACGCTACAGTTTAGAATTCTAATTTACCATTCGGATAGTTTTAGAATGAAAATATTTACACTGCGGTTTATTTAGTTTGTTCATATGAGAGTTAATTACATGTTTTTGGATTTCCATGTGACGAAAACCCACTTTGGAGCATACTAGTTACCTTTTGACTATTATGAACCTAAACCACAGACTAAAAAAACCAAACCCTTTCCAAATAAATTTCTGAATTTTTGTTTCATGGTAGTAATTTCTAATAGGCACAAGAGGATATGGTTTTTTTATGATGGGTGCATTTAGCTAAGTGCCCTTTTACCGCCCCAATTAAATAAAGTAAAAACTCACCCTTTAAACCTTATTAATTCAGTCTCTCCAAGGGAAGAATCACTACCAAACACCATTGGAAAAACACGAAACACAACCGTCGACGTTTCTCGCGTTACTACAATCGGGATCGTGACGTAGACGGACAGGTAGGTAACAAGTGAGACGGAAAACAAGTGCCTTATCGGAATACTTTGCTAGAGGTTGTTTTCGCGTGCGCTCCCTCCAGTTTCCAATCGCCAAAGGTGGAATTTATTCACGAATTTAGAAAACACTCAGCGTTTTGAATACAGTTTAATCAAAATATGCAACCCTATCCAATTTTGATTTGTTTGAAAATTGAATTTGAAGGCAATTATTTCAATTAAGTTAACGGATGGCACAAGTTTGTCGTTTCAAATTCTTGTAGAGCATATTTGGGGCATTGGCATTCTTTTCATCTTTTAACTTTAGTGAAAATCAGTCTTTTTGCAATTTTTGATGTAGGTTGCTTGAAATGGCGCGTCCAATTGGAGCTGGATTGTTTGGCGCGCTTCCAGTTTTTTTAATAGTTCCCAGAATACTTTCGAATTTTAGATTACAGTTGCTGGTCTACTTTTCGGAAATTTTTTGGGTTTTCATGGTTAGCATCTTGAATTTCCGGCTTGGAACTTTTTAAATATTGCGCTTTTGCCCAACAGATGTCATTCATGGTTTTCTGTTCATGAATTTGGTCGTGAGTAAGGGGTTAATTCCCGATTTTAATGATTTAAATTATGTTATATTTCCAATTTACCCTCCCCCTACTTTTTTGACGAAAATACACGTTTTGAAGACGCAGGAATCAAAATCAGACAAAATCTCGATGATGTTGATCGGTCTGTCTGACTGTACCTAGGACTATACTCTAATTTCCGGCTAAACGGATGAACTGATTGGAACCAAATTTGGTACACATATTCTTAGACATGAAAGAAAGGAAAGCGTTTGAACAAAACGCGGATGCACAGATGCGTGAGTGGTATCTCAAAATCTATGTCAATAATTTTCATTATTTGGATTGATTGATTTATTTATTTATAAAGCGATCATCTGTCAACTTAAACGCGATCTTTTTGCAACATACGCACAAATTTGTCTTACTCAAAAAAGTACCAAGCACAATTTTCAAAGTATCGCTATAATAATTGCAAAAATAATTAAAACGCATGCCGTTTGAGTTGATGAAAAGGTCACAACTCACAGAGCTGGGCAGTATTGATTTTGTAAATACTTTTTAATATTCAAATACTTTGTACTTAAATACTTTTATGGAAGCAGTATTTGTATTTGTAACTCAAATACTTTCACAAATATTTAGTATTCGAATACTTCGCAAAGTATTTGGATACTTCGTAAAGTATTCGAATACTTCGCATAGTATTTGAATACTTAACCTTCCTTTTTTACCAAAAATCGACTACTCCAGAATTTCTCGGGAAAACACCTTTTCTTATTAATTTTGGTGCGTAGAATCCAAAACAATTCGTTCTTTTTCGATCAGACATCTAAATCAAGTTATGGACGAGAAACCAATTTCGAAAGAAAATTCAAAAGGCTGTAACTTTTGAACTAGTAGTCCAATCTTGGAACTGTTTGAAATTATGGATTCTACAGGCCACATTCTATAAGAAAAATTTTTTCCGGGTCGATCTGAGACAATTTTTTTTTCGGGCCTCAGAAAAAGGCAGTGTATAACCTTCCTTTTTTTATCAAAAATCGACTGCAACAAAATTTCTCGGGAAAACACTTTTTCTTATTAATTTTGGTGCGTAGAATCCAAAACAATTCGTTCTTTTTCGATTAGACCTCTCAATATAAAGTTATGGACAAAAAACAAATTTCGAAAAAAAATTCAAAGGGCTGTAACTTCTAGTAGCCCAATCTTCAAACTGTTTTAAATTATGGATTCTACGGGCCAAATTCTATAAGAAAATGTTTTTTCCCGGTCGATCTCAGACATTTTTTTTCCGGCCTCAAAAAAAGGCAGTACTTTTAAGTTAGGTATTCAAATATTTGAGAACAATTTAGAAATGTTTAGGGAAAGTTTCCATTGTCACAAAATCAAATATAAAAATCCGATACATCTGAATACCGAACTCGATAGTCTACGTAACTTAAAAACAATAGGGACCTTTCTTATATCCTTAAGACCATTGTACCAATTTTCAAAGCGATCGCACGTTTCTAAACAAAGTATCATGCACACGGACAAACGGATGGTCAAAAATGGATCTGTTCCAAAATCGCTAGGATTAATTTCAGAAAGGCGTACGTATCATGTGCACGACGCTTTGAAAACTGGTACACGTATTCTTAAGGATATAACTGGGTATAAGAAAGGTCCTGGTAGGTACCTCCTATATAATAATATAATAATAATATTTCGCTTTTACTCCCCTTAAATTTGTATATAACAATAGAAATATAAAAAAAGCTAACCCCATACAAAGTATAACTTGATTTTTAAGTAGTATTAAGACTTTTATCTAGTATACTATTTTAAATTTTTAATGTATTTGAGTGACAAGTATTTGAATACTTTTTACTGTATTCGAATACTTTTCAAAGTAAGTTAATGAAATACTTTTCAAAGTATTCGAATACTTTTGATAGTATTCGAATACCTTTGAAAGTATTCGAATGCATTCTAAAGTATTTGAATACTTATTTTTTTAAGTATTTGAATACTTTTCAATGTATCTGTATCTAGCATTCGCTTGTGCTGGACGTTAAAGTATTTAGTATTCAAATACCTTTGATTTGTGTAAAGTATTTACTATTTAGTATTCAAATACTTTTTGAAAGTATTCTGCCCAGCTCTGAAAGGTCATAGAGCCATACTGTTATACGACAACGATAAATGATCGCAGAGGTATAAGCGTAGCAGAAGATTTTGAAGTGGCTTTCCTAAAAGTACTTTTAGTTAGTAGAACACCTCGGAAAATACTCCAGGAACTATTTGTCTAGCTAATGGCCGTAACACAAACACTATCATATTTCCCCATTTCTGGTCTACTAACTTTACCGACTCTCACCAGGCTCCACAATTCGTAACGATTTAAAGCTGTAAGTAAAACGTAAATTACTCAGTCGTAGGTACTACAACATAATTGATCAATCCCTTGTACTGGAAAAATTTCCCTATAATCGTATAAACTAGTACATTCCCACACTTGCTCCAAGCGTCTAATAAAGCAATTTTCGCAGTGCTTATGAATCCAGCAAAAGCAGCTGAAAGGTTGTTGTTCGCCCTTTTTGGACAGTCGAGAAATACCGATTTAATTACAATGGCACCTCCCGAACGTGCCCAATTGAGACCAGACTGGACGAAAATTTTGTTCAAAATAGCGTTTGCCATATATATGTTGGTTACCGTGGTTGTTCTTATTAAACTTCTAATTGCCACGATGTCAGACACATACCAACAAATTCAGGTAACTTTGTCACGCAACCTCTTGGCGATCCGCATAATAACGCTCGAATCTTTTACACACTCAGGCCCGATCTGACGTCCAATGGAAGTTTGGATTAAGCAAATTGATTAGAAGTATAGATCGAACGACGACAGCGCCACCGCCAGTTAATCTAATCACAACTTGGCTTTTCTATTTTGTTAGCGTTTATAGAACTAGGGGTAAGACTCTCAGTTACGCATGTTTAGTTGGACTGATTTTCACCCCGCAGCAAAAAAATCAATGTACGCAAGCCCAAGAACGAAAGCGAGCGGTAAATGGCTCGCGAAGTTGCGAAAGCGAAAAGAGAGGACGAGAAGAACGTCACTGACCGTCACATCTTTAGTGCAGTATAAAGATTCCGTCGACCACCAAAAAAGCATTGTAGCAATAATACGTTCGATTGAAACGGTAACGGATTGGAACGCAATATCGAAAAAGTACAGATCCCTGATGGGTCTCACCAGTATTTCCGAGGTTGAACATTCCAAAGGGAACGAAAGTGGCAGCGAGCAAAGCGAGGATGATTCCTAAATTAAAATGTGTTCCAAAAATGCTTCCAAAACAACTTTAGAACGTGTCTTTACCTAATGCAAAAAAAACCTATATTTAAATAGCGCTTTTGGTACTTATACAGAGAAACAGGGTAGGAAATCTGACGTAGATCGGATTTAGACAAGTCTGAAAATTTATTATTAACTGATCTCAGAGTAATATATCTTGTTGTACATGGATTTTTTATAATGAAATTTAATATGTGCAACAGTGCCGTAGCAAATACTAAATCATTATACAATACATAACAAGATCCGACCAAAACGTCTTGCAAATGCCATTTTCTGATCATTCACAACTTAACTTTAGGTTCAATACAAAAATACTTTTCCTTTGAGAAAAACGTCTTTCATACCTAGCTCATTTTTGGAGGTAATAACAATAGCAAAATCATTACATACCTGCATGACAAGTCTTCCATAAATATGTTCCGTTTCGCACCTAGATCATTTGTACCAAAGATAATGTTCACCTAGGCATTTCGTGCCTTAAACTTTTTGACTCCTAGTTTTAAATTAGCATAGGAAAACTGAAGTCAACTAATACCTAATTAACGGAGCTGAAATGCTAAGAGACTAATTCTTCCCCTGCTTCTCCACGCCGAGGGCTATTCGGATGCTACAAAAATAATTTACATAGCTCTACGGCAGCTGGTTTCCTTATCAGCGGTTAAAACGCCTCTACAAATTGAAAAAATATTTTTACCTTCTATTTCTCACACCTAGAAGAAATTAAATCTGAAAGCTACGGTTTCTTAATAACGAAGCGCCCAGTTACTGACCCGTATATGGTGATTAAAGAGGGTTCTTATACGAAACGGGTGCTTCGTTACAAGAATTGAAGAATTTTAAGAGCTGTAGATGATGAAAGCTGAAGGATCGGAAGAACTGTTACTGAATCCAAAGAGCTAAAAAAAATGCAACTAATCGATCAGAAAACTTCTAACAATAGCACCCGAAGCATCACAAAGATTCCGAAGGTCCGCCACGTGAGTGAATAGCCTCAACAATCTGACTAGAATGAAATCAGAAGAATTGATGCATCCGATGGAATTGAGGAATCCAAAATAGCTGTTAAAAACCCGAATTTAATAGAATCATACCTGAAAATATGAAATAATCATAGACATACGGTGTCTTCCCGGGTGGACTAATCAAAAACTTTTTATTTGTAATAAACAAACAACGTATTTCTTCTATCACACTTGGTTCTCAAAAAATTCTCATTCGGACGACAGATGCGCCTCCTTCAAACCTTCCACTTTACCACCACAAGTTTTATCGTGGTGCAAATTTACCAATTGCAAATAGTACAGGGAGCGAACGTCCATGGTTGCGAATTTTCCTCGTCGTGGAATATTATGCTGCAAATTATCCATGGTCCGAATTATCCGGCTGAGAATTGTCCAGATAGGAATAGTTCGACTGCAAATTATCATGATACCAATTGTTCATGGTGCAAATTATCTGAGTATGAATTGTCCGGGTGCGAGTTTTCTATTGTGCAAATTTAGCTTGGTACGGATTGTGCAAGAGTGAATTGTCTTGGTGTGCGTTGCCTAAGTACGAATTATACGGTTGCAAATTATTCTGGTACGAATTGTCCGAGTGCGAATTATCTATGGTAGGTATTCTATGATGCGAATCGTGTTTGATGGGAATTATATAAGGAGCTATGGTGCAAATTGTACGTGGTGTGAATTATCCGGGTGATAATTATCAGCGTGCGAATTGTAAATGGTGTGAATTATTCGAATGCGAATAGTCGGGATGCGAATTATCTGAGTATGAATCATCAGAGTGCAAATGGTATATGGTGCGAATTGCCTATTGTGCAAAATTACCATGTTGCAAATTGTCTGAGTTAGAATTTTTTTGGGTTCGAATTACACGAGTGCGAAATATACGGGGGTGGATGATTGTTGTACGGATTATCCGGGCACAAATTGTCCATGATGGGCATTCTATCGTGGGAATCTTGCTTGATAATTGTCCGGATGCGAAGCATCTGGGTACGAATTATACTTGACCACAAACTTTCCTACATTTGTTCACAGAAAACATTTTTGACTAGAAAGTATAGTGGAGTAAGTCGCAACACCTAAAACCCAAAGCTTTTCAAGAATACGGAAATGTTCCTACAATGTTACCTGTGATGTCGTTCCTCGCGTTGTTCTCATTGTTAATTACTTCCTGAGCACTCAGTCAAAATTAATTTAAAGGTATACGAAATAGAAACTTCTCCACAGACATAATGATAGATATCCAATTCTTCATAAAAAAGGTTTGAACTGCACCAACACATACATAATTTGCTCCACCACCGTTACCCAAAGGAAAATTGTACCCCCATGCAAAGGTAAACATTTCATCTTATTTATCTATAGTAATTGCTACGCCACTGCAGCACAACATTTTTGATACAACATTTAAATGCACAATATGTAGAAATATTATGCAGGTATGTGTATAGACTTACAATAAATGAAATAAATAAAGTAGTTTTTTATTGAAATTTTGCCCCATAAACTATTATGCGTTTTCTAAAATTTTAGGATACTAAATAACATAATAAAGGAGTAAATTTTGACTTCCCCAAGACTTTCCCTGAGCAAATCCAGCTATAGCATTCTTACGTAAGTGACTATCTGTTTTGTGCTTCTATAGTGTTCGCCGTATATCGTTACCTAAACTAGCAACCCCCTGTATTGTTGCTGTATATCCAGCTACTGTGTTGTCATAAATATGCTTCGTAGGGTAGCGTAGCGTGTGTAGACAATTGTCGAGCTAGCAAAACTTGCTTCGCAGTTTGTCTAATGGAAGTTTTGTATTTGCAGTGGAGATAAGCCCATTGGAAGTGTTTCACCTACTGTTCTTTGCCGTTTTTGGGCAAACGTCGCCGGAGCAACTCCAAAGCAAACGTCACAAACAGACGCAATGGACGGAAGCTCTTTTTAAGCTCATTTTTGGAATATACATGTTGGTGTCCGTTGTAGTTTTGATAAACCTGCTAATTGCCATGATGTCGGATACTTACCAACGGATCCAGGTAACGCACTTGACCTATTAATACGCTTTAGGATAATTTCACGCGAGTTTAGGCGCAATCAGACATCGAATGGAAGTACGGTTTAAGCAAACTGATTCGAAAAATGCACAGGACGACCACCGCTCCATCACCGATCAACCTAATCACGACCTGGCTGATTTACTTCATCCAGCTTTGTATTGCAAAATGTAAGTTACACCTTGATCTTCACCCATTAATTACTGTTGCCTTCCAGCCAAAAAGAAAAGGAAACGTCCCAACATTATCGAGGTGATAAAGACCTTCCAAAATGCGCACGGTCTGAGCCCGCGATCGAAGGCGGCCGCCAAATGGCTATCAAAACTACGATCGAGAAGAGTGGTGCCCCAGGAGACTACACTGGCAGTACCGACAGTTTTCAGTTCGCCCACGGCCTCGCACGTCGATGGCCAACTTCATCAAACCTACATTGAACACGTCGCTGATTGGGAAGTTGTAGCTAATAAGTATCGAGCCCTAATGGGATACATTGAGGAAATCATCGAAACGAATCAATCAGATGAATAAAATTCATTTGCTTATATTATTAATCGCACATATAATATCCAATGGAGCATGTTTGTATCTAAATATACAAGTTTATCTTATTGTTAATAAACACTTAAAGGTCATCTTGAGGCTTTTTGAAAAGTTCTATGCACCGAACATGAAGCAAAAATCCACCGGTTATGTTGGTAACCAAGACGCGGACCGGAACATAAACCCCCACCCGGAGTATTCACCACGAAAAAAACGCACTCAAAAGATTCACTAAAGTGAGATTACTAATTCATAAAGAAGTGAAACCTTCCCCCCCAGTTAAAGCTTATCAAAAATTTTCCACTTGAAATTTGTTTACATATCGTAATATTTTACAACTTCCTGAGTTACAAAAAATCACCTCGTCCGTATTAGTTAGGGAAGTGGCTTCGATCTCGTAGTGGAAAAATTCCCCTAGAATAAAGTCAGCGTTCTTTGGTATGTACAGTCTCTTAATTCTTTACCGGAAATGGAAAACCCCCAACATTTGCTGACAATTGGATATATAGTCCCAGATTAAGTAGTTTTAAACCCACGCTTCAGCAATTTCAGCATTCCACTGGGTCAAAGATATCAATGGGTAAGTTCGTACTTGCGATATTTTTAAACTCCAGAAGAATCAAAATTAAAAAGCAACACTCAAAATGATTGGATCTACAGCGGGCTCCCATTGCAAGCTCAGAATTGACTCTTAATTTGATCGTGACAGCTTGGCCGTCTAAACGTATTCCTTTGTTAGGGGAATTTCTTTCAAGAAATTCCCCTATGTGATGATTTTGTTCGTCCGTCTGCCTGTTCTCGTCTATAACACGAGAACGAAAAGAGACAGCGGTGTCAAACCTTCCCCTATCGATTTTTAAGAGTTCAAGGATCAGTCCTATTGAATATGAGCCTGATTAAAAGTGTTCCCGAATACGAGCTGACTGGCAAAAAATTCCCCTACGGAAAATCGTATGCGATTCTTCGTATCTTGGAGTTCTGGTGATTGATTCATAATTATGGTGTTTCCCAACATTTTTAGCGCATTTCCACAATAAAAAAAAATGCGCTATTGTGGCCACTTTGTCCGTCCGTCCGCTCGTTTTGAGACGCTACTAGTTTTTTATCTTAAGAGCTATTGTTCTACTTTTTTCGCTTTTGCCGTTTATTAACGATTCTAGAGATCGTTTATAATTTTGCATTGCTGTCTGTCGTCTGTCTGTTGGTCTGTCCGTCTGTTCCTTTGTCTGTCTGTCCCTCTATCTGTCCGTGTGAACGATAACTTTGTTTAGAAATGTCCGATCGCTTTTACATCTCCGTTAGTTATGAACCGACTTGCATGAAATTCAAAGTTGAGTCGAATCGATTCAAAATTCACAGTGCCCTTTTCGCATCTCGACCATTTATAAACCGAATTGCAAACTTTTTTTATTATAAAAGTATTTAAATGAAATTTGATACATAGCCACTTGAAATAAAAAGTGGCATCTTACAAATAGGAAATGAATGCAAGTGGAAATGCGCTTTATGTAAATCGTTTACGATTACTTTTTAACTTGTTCTTATTTTCGAGTGCTTACATATCTTTTCTGAAAATTTTTATCGTAGAATTTCACGTTACCTTAGCTACCTATATATTTATTCCTAATTTCACTTTCGAGGAACCAGAATTTCCTCAGTGGCCACCAGTGCCTTTGATTGCATTATTGCACAATACTTCAATACTTTCAAATATTGTATACAGAAAACTTCTTTATACTCCCTCATTTATTTTATTAAAACAATGAATTAACTGGGAATAATTTTGTTAGTAGAGCTGAGTGCTTTAGTGGGTAGTGGGTACGGGTAGAATGGTGAAAATTCGTCCCAGATCTAATATTTCACCACAGAAGCCCAGAATAGTCGCCTCCGGAGAATATTGCTCTGCGTTGAACTTTATTGCAGAGATAAGTTAGGGCGCGGATTTTTGGAAGTTTTATTATTTTAATCTGGTAATCGTTTTACCCTCCATCCCTCTGAGTGATACCCCGTGATTTCAAAAATGTTCCCTCTCATCAGGGGCACCATATTTCTATTTGGATGCGAACGTCCAGAGAGGTAAGATTAACTCCTGCTGAATTCGATGCATTGTACCAATAAAATACAGGGTTGGGCAGGGAGGTATGGATGATTTGAAATAACAGTTACACACTCATTTTTAAACGAAACTCAAAATTTATTTTTTTAATGTGTACCTTAGATGTTGCCATTATTGTAATACATTATTGTATTAGCAATTTAGGTATGTCTCTGTGGAAAGTCAAAGAGCTGAATCATATTTTCTAAGTGTTTTGCCAAAATAGTTTGGATTGTTTTCTTTATTTCAGGACAACTACTGGAGATTTCAAGATAACTTAAGATTCAAGCAAGTAAGGACTAGAGGCGCTTGTGCGCAGGAAAAATTGCCCGGTAAAATTCGACGAAGCCCATTCTCCAAATAGAGCGTTATCGTTCAGATTACAAAAACCCATCTGGTAACTAATCCATGAATCGCAGGCTTTCGCAACAAATTTCTTGGAGTTTATCGACTCTATAAAGTACTGGAGGCTCCGCTGATGACTGCATACATCTGCAATTTAAAGTAAGTGCATCAGAAATCTAACTACGAACGATACACACATTCAAAAATGTTATGAAGGGGTGGAATGTTACAGCCAGGCTGTATCGCACTTCCGCCATTTGGAAAATAGTCCGCATCTCCAATAGCCGACTTAAATCCCAGTATTCCGCTATCCGTATGAATAACGTCGACGAAATTTGCGTCGGTTCTTGTCAGACGTTCATCATCGCCAATGAAGGGAAACTCGAATAACGGACCCGCTGGATCCAACCCCGTAATTCGGTCTATCCTACCTCCCGTTGTCCTATAGATGTGTTTTCCTACAAAACCCGCAACGTGCGAACCCAGGGAATGGCCGATGATGTGAGTCCTCGAAAGTTGAAGTTGCCCCTCTTCGTTTAGCTCGATTAGAAAATGCCCAATAGCTTTGCCGACCACTCGGGCTTCCTTCACCGCATTGATATAAGGCCGTTTGGCCCTTTTCGACCAATCAATCGCAATTACGTTCAAATCGCGATTCGCCAAATACGCCTGTGTCATCTGCCGATACCAGATTACGCCCGAGCTTTCGGTAAATCCGTGTATTAACACTTTAACATCTAATTCTTTGTTTAACTCAGAAGGCGAATCTTTCAGGTTAAAGGGCGACGTTGCATTCGCGCGCGTATACAACTGGAACCCAATATCATTTACATTTTTCTGGGTGGATAATTCTGGAAAATCGCCCAAAATTAGCTCGCGAATTTGGCAATTGCCTAAAACAGATTATGGTATAATTACAGACGTTGCAAACGCGTTCTGGTGCAAACCCAAACTGAAAGCGCACATAAAAATTATTTGGATTGCAGCCATTTTTTTTACTGGATCACTCGACGCCGTTGTCTTTTTATAGTGCCCTTTTATTACACATGCAATCACGAATGCGATAATAACTCACATTTGCTTGCCAATTTAAATAAATTTGCATAAGTGCTGTTAGTAAATTAATTTTTGGCCGTTTGGATGGATGTAGGTGAAAAAATTCTTTAGCCGATGTAAAATTTAAATTGTAGTTCGGTAGCATGCATTAAGATAAAGGCAGTGTTTATTGTAATTAACGTAACTACTAACTCAGATTTAAATACCTACAAAGCTATATCTCTCTACTAGGCACCATATATCTATAGTCAAAATCGCATGATCTTCTGCTTTCTACCTTTGGTCAAAGCTTTGGTGTAATTGTAAAACAAGTATAGGTACCTACTCTACCCACCATCAAGAAAAAAATATTGCCTTGGTTCGTTGCTGTAACTAGTAAATGATTTTAATGGATCTCCAAAGACAATCCCAGTAGTGTATTGCTGCCACTTAGTCAGGGGCATCAGTTGCCGTTTCGGAGAAGTCATCAAATTTTTTTATATGGCCCGCAATAAAAGTACCTACATATAGGTACATACCAGAGCTGGGAAGAATACTTTCAAAAAGTATTTGAATACTATAAAAAGTATTCGAATACAGTAAAAAGTATTCAAATTCTTGTCACTCAAATACATTAAAAATTTAAAATAGTATACTAGATAAAAGGCTTAATACTACTTAAAAAATCAAGTTATACTTTGTATGGGGTTAGCTTTTTTTATATTTCTATTGTTATATACAAATTTAAGGGGAGTAAAAGCGTATTATTATTATTATTATATAGGAGGTAGGTACCCGTACCTACCAGGACCTTTCTTATACCTACCAGTTATATCCTTAACCAGTACCAGTTTTCAAAGCGATCGTACGTCGTGCACATGATACGTACCTACGCCTTTCTGAAATTAATCCTAGCGATTTTGGAACAGATCCATTTTTGACCATCCGTTTGTCCGTGTGCATGATAGTTTGTTTAGAAACGTGCGATCGCTTTGAAAATTGGTACACATGGTCTTAAGGATATAAGAAAGGTCCCTATTGTTTAAGTTACGTAGACTATCGAGTCATTCAGAATCGGATTTTCAATGGAAACTTTCCCTATTTTTAAAGTTCTCATATTTGAATTTAAAAGTACTGCCTTTCTTTGAGGCCGGAAAAAAAATTGTTTGAGATCGAGATCGATCGAGAGTCCATAATTTCAAACAGTTCCAAGATTGGGCTACTAGATCAAAAGTTACAGCCCTTTGAATTTTTTTTCGAAATTTGTTTTTTGTCCATAACTTTTGATTGAGAAGTCTGATCGAAAAAGTACGAATTGTTTTGGATTCTACGCACCAAAATTAATAAGAAAAAGTGTTTTCCCGAGAAATTTTGGTGCATTCGATTTTTGGTAAAAAAGGAAGGTTATACACTGCCTTTTTTGAGCCCCGAAAAAATTGCCTCAGATCGACCCGGAAAAAAATTTTCTTATAGAATGTGGCCTGTAGAATCCATAATTTCAAACAGTTCCAAGATTGGGCTACTAGTTCAAAAGGTACAGCCCTTTGAATTTTCTTTCGAAATTGGTTTCTAGTCTATAACTTTTGATTGAGAAGTCTGATCGAAAAAGTACGAATTGTTTTGGATTCTACGCACCAAAATTAATAAGAAAAAGTGTTTTTCCGAGAAATTTTGGTGTAGTCGATTTTTGGTAAAAAAGGAAGGTTATACACTGCCTTTTTTTGAGCCCCGAAAAAAAAATTGTCTCAGATCGACCGGGAAAAAAAATTTTCTTATAGAATGTGGCCTGTAGAATCCATAATTTCAAACAGTTCCAAGATTGGGCTACTAGTTCAAAAGTTACAGCCCTTTGAATTTTCTTTCGAAATTGATTTCTAGTCCACAACTTTCGATTGAGAAGTCTAATCGAAAAAGTACAATCGTTTTGGATTCTGCGCCCCAAAATTAATAAGAAAAAGTGTTCTTCGGAGAAATTTTGGTGCAGTCGATTTTTGGTAGAAAAGGAAGGTTATATACTGCCCTTTTTTGAGCCCCGAAAAAAAATTGTCTCAGAACGACCGGGAAAAAAGATTTTCTTATTGCGCGCACCGGATCAAATACCCGGTGGACATCGAAAAATCAGCCATCACCACCCCATTCGGACTTCTTGAATTTCCGGTGATGACATTTGGTTTACGCAACGCAGCGCCTAATCATAACCAAGTGCTCAAGGATCTACCGTTCACATTTGCATATCTTGACGACGTGCTCATAGAGCTAAGTGCGAGTTTGGCGTCCCTTCATTAACGTTTCCGGCCATGGACATTTCAAGCGAAGCCATTTAAACCATGCGCTACCAGATTCGAGACATTTAAAAATCTTCGGCCGTTACCGACAACCTTCCAAGATCTGCGCAGAACACTGGGTATGCTCAGGTATTATCGGAGGTTCGTAAAAAACTCCGCAGCAACGCAACATCCCCTTACCGATCTACTTAAAGGCCCGGTCAAGCGTAACGGCAAACGAAAGATAGTGGACAGACGAACTTACGCTAGCATTCGAACGTTGCAAAGACGGTTTAGCTAATGCTTGTACTTTGGTGCACCCGAGCCACAACGATTGTCTACTAGTGCTATCCATCGACGCATCAGATATTGCTATCGAAGCCGTACTAGAGCAGGTCAACACGATTCACCACTAGCAATTGATCCAGGCCCGTTGCCAGAATGAGATAGCTGGGGTGGCCGGTATTTTTCTAGGGGGGCTTAAGAAGATTTTGATAAATAGTCTAGGCGATAAAGACATCTAACTGGACATTTTGAGGTGGAAATGAAAAAAATGGTGGAATATGTTCAGTTAGGTGTCAGAAACAACATATTAAAAATCCCACCCCCCAGACCCTGTGCTAAAGGCTACAGCCACCCCACCATCCCCCAAAAACCGTGTTTTCGCTCTTTTTGGCTGATATCTCGCGATCTATGAGGTCTATATGAAATATTTTTAGCTGAAAATATTTCTCGGGAAATTTTATATTTATGCTAAGAGGTACACCTAGGCTAACTTCTGAGTATCTACCTTGTAAAAAGTTTCACGAGGAGCATTTTCAGCTAAAAATATTTCATCTAGCCCTAAAGGTCGCGATATATTTGCCCAAAGCCACGAAAATTGATGATTTTCGCCGCTTTTATGAATTTCCTAGGCTAAGAGGTACACCTAGGCTAACTTCTGAGTATCTACCTTGTATGAAATTTCCCGAGAAATATTTTCAGCTAAAAATATTTCATATAGATCTCATAGATCGCGAGATATCAGCCAAAAAGAGCGAAAACACGGTTTTTGGGGGATGGTGGGGTGGCTGGAGCCTTTAGCACAGGGTCTGGAGAGTGGGATTTTTAATATGTTTTTGACACCTAACTGAACATATTCCACCATTTTTTTCTTTTCCACCTCAAAATGTCCAGTTTGCCAATTTTACAGTCTCTATCGCCTCTAGACTAAAAGACTTCCCCTGTAATTTTTGTAAAGGAACCATCAACCATAGTTTCCAATGGGGGCAAGACCACGTTCTAGGTGAGGCTCAGCCCCATCCGGCCACCCCCTGGCTACGGGCCTGAATTGATCCCGACCATAAAATAAATACCTACAGATCGACCCTGCCCATTCAACCAGATGCTTCTCGCGCTCCAACGAATCCAGCGACCTTCAACAACTTCTAGAACCGGTCACAGGCTCAGCGCTCATTGAACTCCAGAAACGACACCCCCTCAAGCCACTCGACATATTTTTGTACTATTGTAAATAAACCCGTAAACGTTACAACATATTATTAGCACACCCGCTAATCTATTATTCACAGACTTCCTATCATTTCACTATTTTCCACGTCCACAGGAGTCCTAGATCACTCTTGAGTAGGTATATGAATTTCAACCAATAAACTTAAATAATTGCTGTCAATTAATCAAAACAGTCAATTGTTTGATAATCGATTAACATTTTACTTTTTATTATAGTCAATTAATCAAGTAGTGGCTTAATCGAGTATTTTTAGTAATCAGGTATCAACAAGCTAGAGCTCTAATGGTGAGTATATTTTTTCACAAAATAATATATTTCTAAATCAGTATAACAATAATAATTTCCAGTAACATCCATTGTTATACAAACAAACCAACATAACATAGTAAAGACTTTATACCTGTACCTTTGAATAGGTATAACATTTTATACTTATACTAACTATTGCTATTACAATATTTTAACTATAACAATATGACACAATAGTATCACCACCCTTCAATGGCACCCATATGGAGGATATTGATGTGGGTTAAATAGAAACGATCACAGCACACATTAGTGTAAAACTTGTTTGCTTAAATCACAGCAGTCAGTCTTGAATTCTCCTTAAAGGCACTCTGAAATACGGCGAAATTTGGCATCCATTAACTCCTGAAATCTAAACAAAGATAAGGTTGAACAGCACTGGGGAAATACGCACGGAAAAAGGATTGAGTTCATTCAATCCACAATTAAAGTCTTTTTGTTAAATTTACCTATATCGA